GCCAAAGGTAACCCCTCTTGGAGCCAGTTGAAAGGACTCTTAAGGAGAACCTACTCACAATTTTTTGGTTTATTTTATGGGGAGGTGGCTTTAATGAAACCTCTTCTCATGACTACTAAATCATCAGAAATATTTACTGCCCACGAATGGTTTCTGGTATTTTAGTTTGTTGTGAACACCAAGGGGCAGGATGAATGTCACATTATATTTAATCCTCTAATGATTCATAGCTACAAAGTTAGCTAGAGGCCCTGTGCATTTGATTTGCATTATATTGAATAAAATTCCTAACTCCATACATTGTAGATTTCAGAACATTCCCCCAAATTTCTGCTAATTCCCATAGAAACAAATTCTTAGCAAAATGAATTCTCAGTGGTGACTTTCAGCAAATCTACTAAATGACATCACTTTAGATACATTCAAATTAAAAATATCAACAAAACAAAGTTGGTCATGCTCATTCGAAATATTTCACATTATTGCCAATGCAATCATATAAGAACTTGATATAAACACATAAGCATTGGAAAGAAAGGATATCATTTGTACACATTTGTACAATACAGAGGAGGAAAAAACAACCCATGAGGCCAGGCATGGTGGCTCACTCCTGTAATCCCAGCACTTTGGAAGGCCAAGAAGGACAGATCACTTGAGGTCAGGAATTTGAGACCAGCTGGCCAACATGACAAAGCCCTGTCTCTACTAGAAATAAAAAAATTAGCTGGAAGTGGTGGCATGCATCTGTAATTTCAGCTACTTGGGAGGCTGAGGCACGACAATTACTCAAACCAGAGAAGTGGAGGTTGCAGTGAGCCAATACTGTGCCACTACAATCCAGCCAGAGTGAGAGAGCGAGACTCTGCCTCAACAACAAACGACAAAAAGTCACCCATGAGACTACAAGTTATTAAAACTAAAAAGTTCAGGAAATTTGTTGAAACAAGAGCAATATATGTAGATAATTTTCCTGTTCTTTAATAAAGTGAAAAAAATGTTATAGAAAGAGATAGCATTTTCAAAAGCAGAAGCAACAATAACAACAAATCAATATACCTGCCTGAGTGAGAAATCTAACAAAAGGTTACAAGAATTTTATGGAAAAAAATGACAAAGTATCAATGAGAGCCATGAAAGAAATCTGAATAAATTGACAATTGATTTCATATACCATGACTCAATATCATAAAGGTATCAACTTTCTCTCAACATGATCTTTAAAATTCTTACCATTTTAATCAAACGACCAACAAGATGGTTTTTTTTTTTTTAATGTGAAACGTGATGAAAATGATTCTTGTAAAGAGGAGTAAAAAGTTTTAGAAAAGCCAAATGACACTGAAAGGGAAGAGCAAGAAGAGAGCAAAAGAATGATTACATACCAATAACAATGGGAAGAGAGTTATTGGCACAGCAATAGATCAATAGAACACTCTGGAGAGCTCAGACCCAGGCCGAAGCATAGGAGGGAGGTGGTACTAGAAATCAGTGGGCACATGATGGATGCACCCTCTGTTTGGTTTTGAGACAAACGATTTACTATATGAAAAAGGTCTGAGGTCACTATTTCATATCCTACATGAAAACAAATTCAAATGTATTAAAGACATATACAAAAAGCAAATTGGAAAAACTATCAGGAATAAATATAAACACACGATGTTCTCACTTATTAGTAGGATTTAAAAATTAAAACAGTTGAACTCATGGACACAGAGAGTAGAAGGATGGTTACCAGAGACTGGGAAGGGTAGTTGGGGCTGAGAAGGAGGGAGGTAAGGATGATTAATGGATGCAAAAAAAAAAAAATGAATGAATAAGACCTACTATTTGATAGTGCAATAGGGTGACTATAGTCAATAATAACTTAATCATACATTTTAAATTAATTGAAGGGTGTAAGTGGATTGTTTGTAACTCAGAGGATAAGTGCTTGAGGGAATGGATACCCTCACAAAATTAATAATTATAAACACATAAATTTATCATGAGATACAGAAATTTTTCCTTATTATTTTTACACGTGAAAAGATGCACAACCCCACTATTAAAGAGGAACTTCGCATTAGGATAATGAATTACTAGTTAATATTCATCAGATTGGCACACAATTTAAGATTCTGGCAATATAAAGTTAGGTGAGAATAAAGGGAATGTGAAATATTTTATTATGTTGGTGGGAGTATAAATTAGTAAAATTCTTCCTAGAGCAATTTAGCAAAATCTAATAAAGTTGAAGATACAGGTACCATACAACTGAACAAATACCTATAGGAATTCTAGAAGATTTTAAAAGTTTAGGTGTGAGCCCCAAAGGAATCTTTGTATGTATGTACAAGTAGACATGCACAAGGATAATCATTGGTATAGATATAACATTTTCTTAGATGCATTCAAAGACTTGGTAAACTTTTCAAAAGCAAAAAATAAAATTAAAAAATTTAAAACAATTTTTTCATCTACAATGTTGAAGAGCAAAACATTAATAGGGGAATAAATAAGATACAGTAAATTTGTATAATGAAATACTGCATGGTAGTTAAAGTGACTGAATTAGATCTCTCTATATTACTGTAGTAAAATCCCCCAAATTATACTAAGTCAAAAAGAGCAGGGACATTTAGCATGATACCATTTATATAACTTAAAAGCACACAAGCTATTTTAAATATATATATATATATATATATATATGGATCCATATGCATGTAAACAAAGTATAAAATGAGATCCAGAATGATTTATTCCAATATCAGATCAGAACTGCAAAGACAATCACAGGGAACTTCAAATTTATGAATTTTTCCTTGTGGTAATATGAAACAATACAACTAATGTTAACATGCATTCATTCTGCATGATTAATACATGGGTGCTTTTTAACATTATGCTTTCTGTATTTTAACATGTTTTTAAAAACAAAATGTGTTTAGCATAAATTGGACATATGATGTGTACATGTTTCTTTAAAATTATCCTATTTGTCAGTCTCTAGGCTCCTCTGTAGCATGTTTGAGAGACACAATTTAAAACAAGGCAACAATTTTCAGGTAGAAGATAGATTTCTTTCTATCGAAGATTCTTCCGTAACTCAGCAAACTAGCCTATTTATTAATGTAGGGTATATGGAGCAGAATTGAACAGCTTCCAAGTATAATTACTTTTTGTTTTGTCTGTTTTTGTTTTCTTTGCCAGCTATTGAGTGTATGCTAATGGTAGCAAATATTCCAGTAGCAGGCAAATTAAAGAGATACTGGGTAATTAATAACCATGTAACCTTCCCTCAAAGAATCATGCTACATATCCTTTCAAGGAGATGAACTGGTAATTCAGAGATCACTTGATTCAATCAATCAGCAACCAATCATTGATAACATCTTTTTCTTTGGGGCCATGTTTTGCTGTAGAAATCAAAGAAAAAATCATACAATTCTGATGTATATCCGTTCATACTGAAAATTTAGTGAATGGAAAATTAAAAAGTTATGTAATGATGTGCAAAGATTGTAGAGGTATCAAAGCAATTATCTTTGAATTACTACTACAAAATATACCCATACAGTGAAGTGTTTTGTGTTGAATAGCAATTGTCACTGAATAATCAAGATGAGTTGCCACCATTATATTATAGAAAAGTGCCTCAAAAAAATTTGAAATCAAATTTCTTTGGAAAATAAGTTGTTCTGAATAAGTAAAACAGTGAAGGTTGTCATTAAAAAACATAATATACTTCTTGAAAGCTTCAAATTTAAGTCATAAAGCACTAAAGATTATAAAGGACAAAATTTGTTACATCTATCTAATGTATCTATATCTAAAGCTCACACACATGCACAGAGTTTATTGCTGAAAGAGGCCTTCAATTTCAGACCCATATTTTTACAGATGAGGAAACTCAGGCACAGAGTTACATAGTATACAATTTTATAAAAAAGAAATATTTTCAGTAGTTTACAAAATTTTCATCATTCCACTTCTAAAAGGTACTGTTTTGGGGGTGCTATTTCCCAATGATGTGCTCACATACTAACACGATGGTTGTCATACTGTTTTACGGAGAAGCTTGTGATTTTGTGGTGTCTTAAAGATCTCAGGCAAAGAGAAAAGGAAGAATACGGGGGTCATGAGCAGTGGAAATTGCTACATCCTCTTCACCTTGGGCGGATCTATTTTTATGCATTTGATATATTGGGATTCTGCTTAAGATTTCACTTTTTTTTTTTTAAATAAGCTCTTCTTTCCTAAATCAAAGTGTGTGAGTCATTACAACTTCACCAGGATATTGCTGGTGTATTAAACAGGCTTTCTCCAACAGTTGAGGGTCTGGTTTCTTCTTGGCTTTATGTTCTTCTATTCTAGTTCTTGTTAAATACTTGTAGACATCTGATGAACTTCGTGGACTTTCTCCCCAGAAAAAATCATACAGACACCACACAATTTTGTGCCAAATGTGCCAAGTACATGGACTTCCTGAAATCCATTCACAGATCCTGTGTTAATCATACTAACTCTAAAAGCTTTATTTAGAGGACTTAAGAAACTTCCAATAGAGAAAGTTTGGAAAAGATGGAATTTTTTCAATACACCATAACTTGTAAGACCAATTTTTGCTGCCTGATGAAGAAACAAAAAGTATTTTTCATGGAACTTCAAGAATCATACATACTCTTGCTGGCCACACTGTTCTTTTGATTCATCGATTCATTCAACAGATATTTATCAAGAATAGGTATTTATCCAGCACAGTGGAAGACACTGTGCTAGGGGAAATGTAAGTGAATGGTTGACAATACTTGCTTTAAGTGCCATCTATTCTTGAGAATATGCATCATCTTTAACACTTAGCAAATTTTAATCACTTAACCCACTAGTTAACACATGTGCATGTGTGTGCACGTGCACACACACATACACACACACACAGACACACACACACACACACACACACACACACACACTCCTTACTCTCCACTGGAACAAGTGCTCTTTTAACTGACCTGGGGCTCGATTAGGTCTGGTTGACCGAGACCTGGGCTGTCTACCCAAGCTGCCTCCAGTGATGCATGTATTGTGTGGTTCAATCAGAGGACAGTATGGATGTGCAGAGACATAGGGATTCTGGCACCAAGGGCTGCGATTGGGGAAAACGGTTGGTGGGATTTCCTTCTCTCTGTAAAAGAAAAAAGCCTAAATGGAACTCAAAAGCCATTTTATGCTGTGGCGTTAGTGTTGAAGGCACAATTAAAGTGAAAGCATATTTCAAGGCCAAGAGAATATGACTTTTTAGACTTTGTGGGAAGGACTTTTATTATTACTTCAGAAGCATTTGCCTACAAATGAATAATATATTCTGCACCTCTGTCCACAGCCAGCTCTTGATCCAAGATAAAATTCCTGGATGTACACCTCTCCCTCCACCTAAGCACTGCTAAAGATTTGAGGATACCTCACCTCTTCACCTCTCTGCAACAACCTTGCTTCTTAATAACAGTGTCTGTGAAAAGTGAAATGGCCAGAGAGGTCTCAGTACTACCCAGTGAAGATCACCAGCCTTCATTGCCCCATGAGAATTTTTCTGCTCATTCTGTTTTTCTGCTTTTCCCGAGTCCTATTCAAAATAGTCGTTTCCAAAAATCACTATTAATTTATATATCACACATCCATTTGTCATCTAGTCATTCCCACATGCTCAGTTACCAATTGTGGGAAGGACTCATTCAAACAAACCAAACAACATTTACCTCTTAAGAAAAACTTCAGCTTGTTCCACCTGATAATTTGAAATGTCGTTCTTAGGTTGATCTTCTTTTTCTTTAGTTATTGTAGTTGTAGATGCTGTCCACTGAAACTTGTGCCTTTGGAATGTTGAAGATACTACTGAACATCTGTTATATTCAGTGTCAGTCTCTAATTTCTCCCATGCTTGCTTCCAGTGGATAGGAGTGTACCAGGCAACAGCCTAATGAAAATGATTTATTAATGTCGACTGTGTGCATTTGAGGTTTACAACATGCTGTTATGAGATACATATAGATAGTAAAATGGTTATTGTGGTGGAACAAATTAAGATATTTACCATCTTACCTAGTTACTCTTTTATGACAAGAGCTACTTAACAAAATCTACTTAACAAAAATCCCCAATATGATAAAATTTCATTAACTATGGTCCTCATGTTGTAGACTGGATCCCTAGACTTCCTCATCCTACGAATCTCTGCTACTTTGTATCCTTTGACCTACATCTCTCCGTTTTCTCCCCGGCTCCCATCCTGTGAACCAGTTTTATTCATTTTCTCCCCTGCTCCCATCCTGTGAACCACAGTTTCATTCTCTTTCTCTGAATATTTGACCTTTTAAAAATTCCCCATATAAGTGAGATCATGCAACACTTTTCTTTTTGTGTCTGACTTATTTTACTCAGTATAATGTCCTCCAGGTCCCTCCATGTTCTTTTTTAAGGCTGAATAATATTCCATCGTGTATATCTACATTTTCTTTATCCATTTTTCTGTTGGCAGACACTTAGGTTGTTTCCATGTCTTGGCTATTATGAATAATGCTGCAATGAAGATGGGTGTGCAGATACCTTTCCAAGGTGGTGATTTCATCTTTTTTGGGTATGTACCCAGAAGAGGGATTACTGGGTTGTATGGCAGCTCTACTTTTACTTTTCAAAGGGATTTCCATATTGTTTTCCATAAAAGCTTCACCAATCTACATTCCTGCCAACCATGTACCGGGGTTCTCTTTTCTCCATACATTTGTTACTGTATCTCTGTCTTTTTGGAATGCCATCCTTATGAAGTGTGAAGTGATAGCTCACAGTGATTTTAATTTGCATCTATCTGATGCTTAGTGAAGTTGAGCACCTTTTAATATATCTGTTGGCTCTTTTTTTAATGTCTTTGGAGAAATGTCTGTTCAGGTCTTTTGCTTGTTTTCTAAATCAGGTTGTTTTTCTGCCATTGAGTTGTAGAAGTTCCTTATACATTTTGAACACTAGCTTCTTCTCAGATATGTGGTTTGCAAACATGTTTTTCCTAGTTGGCAGGTTGATGTTTTATTTTGTTGATTGTTTCCTTTGCTGTGTAGAAACCTTTTAGTTTGACATACTCCATACCCCCTTTTATTTATTTTTGTTTTTGTGGCCTGAGCTTTGGTGTGAGACCAAGAAATCACTGCAATGGACTACGTCAAGGAGTTCTTCCCTAATGTTCTTTCCTAGCAGGATTATGGTTTCAGGTATTACATTTAGGTCTCTTATCCATTTTGAGTTGTTTTTTGTTTACAGTGTAAGATACGGTTCAACAGAATTTTAAAAATGGGCTGGGCTCAGTGGTTCACACCTGTAATCCCAACACTTTGGGAGGCCAAGTTGGGTGGATTATAAGGCCAAGAGATTGAGACTTTCCTGGCCAACATAGTGAAATCCCATCTCTACTAAAAATTCAAAAATCAGCTGGGCATGGCAGCACATGTCTGTAGTCCCAGCTACTTGGGAGGCCGAGGCAGGAAAATCACTTGAACACAAGAGATGGGGGTTGCAGTGAGCCAAGATCACGCCACTGCACTCCAGCCTGGTGACAGAGCAAGACTCCATCTCAAAAAAAAAAAAAAAAAAGAACTATATTGTGCGATTTACCTATGTGTGTGGCTTAGTGAACTACATGATGAAGATATTGTAAGACATCTTGGCCTTAATTTCCTGTTCTGAAAATTACAAGCAGTATAGCCTCAGATAGGTAAGTTACTTTCTAACATATGTAAAACTGAGAGGGCGGTAGTGGGAACTCCTTTACTAAAGTATTGTAAAATTCATCCAGCTACTGAATTTCATAACTGTAAAGAACTGTGCAAAAAGGAATGGTAATATTAATGTTAAGATTTTAAACATTTAAGACACTGTGTGTGTGTGTGTGTGTCTTATTTGAGATGGGAAAATGGGCAGTAGAACTAGAGACATGAACAAGAAAACACCTTCTCCAGGCTAGAATCCTAGGTGGGAGTATTAAGGAGACCCATGAGCACTAAAGCTGGAGTTTGCTTGGATTTCCTGAATATGTGACATGTGCACAACATACATGTGCCGAAATTATTCAGGAAAATCCTGTATAGAGACTAACAGTTATATTTCTATTCAACATGGAAAAAGTGATCTAACATTCTCCTTGTTCTCGTGATCTGTTTTTAGTTTACCAAAGTAGAGGTTTGGACTTTACGCTGTAACCACTGAACACTCCTCTGCTTGGCTTGACAAATAACATAAAGGCAACACAAGGCAAGCTCAGCTAGGCTATGCTTCCAGCAGAGAAAGATGAATTCTTTTTTAAAAAGTTTATTTTCATAGATTACAGCAAAAAAATGGACTTTTGTTACAGATTATTAGTTAGGAATCCTCCCTTTTAGTAGCTCAAACATATCATATTTTGAAAATATGTTCATGATCTTTTTAGTGTGACCTCCCTTAATGAGATGTGTGCCTTTCCTAGACAAGGCAGTATTTTATTTTTCCCTGTATTGTAGGAGCTTAAAAATATTCACTAATGATGATGATGTGATAAAGTTTAGCCTCAGCTCTAGAATGTTGGCCACATGAAAGCTGCAAACTATTTTTCATACAACAGAAAAGTTATTGGGAGCTAGAAGATATGGTTTTATTTTAGTTCGATCATGTTACTTGTCATGTGACCTTGAACAAGCCATTTAACTTTCCAAGCCCCATTTTTTTTTCCTTTGTAAAATCCTGAAACATTACTGAGAATCAAATGAAATAAGGCATATATAAACAGCCCTTCAGTGAGTTCCTACTGTATAGGACTGGTCTGTTCCACATCTGGATCTCTAATGCAAAACAATACATTGGGAAAGTACCAGGCATTGATAAACATAAGACATTTGTTAATTATTTCACATGTAATTTAGAGGCTCCAAATCCCAATGGGACAACAATGTGACTGGTAAAAAAAAATCTATCCCTGCTTTAAAGGTCCATAGACTCATGGGATCTTAGTGATTATATTATACAATCTCTTACTTTACAGATGAGAAAGTAGAATAACTATATAGTTAACACATGGAAAAGCAAAACTAAAAGCCACCTTTATATTAAGCCATAAGATTTGTAGCTGTACTGAATATTAACCATTGCCATGTTAGTGACAAGATGGCTCAAAAAGTAGTGTAAGATATACTTTATCTTAGGCTTCTTTTAAAAAATGACCCAGGCCGGCTGCAGTGGCTCATGCCTGTAATCTCAGCACTTTGGGAGGCCGAGGCAGGTGGATCACGAGGTCCGGAGATTGAGACCATCCTGGCCAACGTGGTGAGACCACATCTCTACTTAAAGTACAAAAATTAGCTTGGCATGGTGATATGTTCCTGTAATCCCAGCTACTCGGGAGGCTGAGGCAGGAGAATCGCTTGAACCAGGGAGTCAGAGGTTGCAGTGAGCTGAGATCGCGCCATTGCACTCCAGCCTGGCAACAGAGTGAGACTCTGTCTCAAGCAAAAAAAAAAGACCCATAATATAACTTCTCTTTGCCCCATCTTACAATATTATTCAAGTCCAGAAACAGAGTCTATTCTGATCTGTATAGCTGTCTATTACTTTAGACAGTGGATTACAGGCTCTGTGACTTTTTCCACAAGATACGGATTATTTTCTACATACAAATGATATAAATAGAAAGCAATTCCATGGTCATGATGATACTTTGGGTCTGTGTTTCAGCATGTCTATGGAAAGGCAGTAACCTATCTTTTTGAGGAAAATTTACCTGGGGGTTGCAGATAGTAATATCCAGTGCTATCAAAGTAAGAATGAAAATGAATTTATTAGAAAAAGAACTCTATACTTACATTAGGATTTCAAACTGACTTAAAGACACATTTGCGTCTATTTAAGGAAAATATTTTCTAGTTGATTAAATAATGCATATGGCTTTACCATGGGGTAGAATTTCCAATGGGATGTGACTCAGGAAAAAAAAAGGCTTAAAGTGAGTTCTGAAGGGCAGGTAGGATTTAACAGGTAAAAATGGAGGGAAGAGAGTCTATGGAGGCAGGAGCATGCACAAAGACTCTGTGGCGTGAAGGAGCAGTCAAGCACTGGAAAGTAAAAGTAGTATGAGGAGGCCAGTGTGGCTAGAGCAGAGTGCTTGGAGCAGCATGGAAAGAGGAGAGTCCAAGAGGTGAAAAGCAGTAAGATCACTGTGGTTCAGGTGAGGTGGGCTAACTCCTCCCCTCTATAGACTCCCAACACATGGCTCTTCCTCTCAATGCTTTTTCTAATACTCTCCTTTACAGAGTTGATATTTCTGACCTGGGCTGCATGTACTTTATTAAAGCATTGTTTCACTGTATTACAATTATTTATTATCACATAACAGTTTCTACTAGTAGACTCTGAGTTTCTTGAGGACAAGAAGTGTGAAATACTTATGTTCTTTTTTCTAGTACCATGTCTGACAGATACAAAATATATTTAAATATTTTCCATATGGCTCAATCAATCAGGTTCAGTCTTTCATAAGCAGGCGCAGTTATCTGTGCTTACGTCACCCCACAGAAATGGTCTGATCCTGTATGTGCAAAGTTATTCAAATCACTGGGTAAAGGAATAGTCTAAGTATAAAGCCTAATTCAGTTGCAAGGAATGAAAATTTATTAAAATCTGCATTCCAGGAGCTCAGGGGTCTGGTCTGTCTGGTTTGACATTCAGTGCCTGGAGCAACACACATACAAAGTAGAAACCACAAACCAGTTTGCACAGTGGATAACTAGGAAAAAAGTTCAGAGACAAGACTGCCTTAATTCTGAACTGGGTTTTGCTAATGATCTCTTATGAGGCTGAGTAAATAACTCAGATTGTATATCCTTATTTTCCACCATCAGTGAAAATTAATCTAAGTAAATAACTTAGGTAGTGTAGTCATACTGTCCCCATCAGTTAAAATTAATCTAAGTAAATAACTTAGATTGTGTAGCCTTATTTTCCCCATCAGAGAAGTATTAGAGAATTCAGTTCAAGCCCACAAGGAGATCTAAAGCTGAGTGGGTGAAGCCTGCTAAGTTACATCTAATGGGTGCTCTTTCCATCTAACAACTGGTCCCACAAAAAGACTCTTAAGAAATTAGCCCTGGCTGGGAGCGGTAGCTCATGCCTGTAATTCCAGCACTTTGGGTGGCCGAAGTGGGAGGATCATGAATGAGGTCAGGAGTTCGAGATCAATCTGGCTAACAGGGTGAAATCCCGTCTCTACTAAAAATACAAAAAAATTAGCCAGATATGGTGGTGTGCACCCATAATCCCAGCTAGTCAGAGGCTGAGGCAGGAGAAGCATGTGAAACCAGGAGGCACAGGTTGCAGTGAGCCAAGATCGCGAATTGCACTCCAGTCTGGGAGACAGCGTGAGGCTCTGCCTCAAAAATAAATAAATAAATAAATAAATAAATAAAAAGAAAAGAAAAAAAGAAAAAGAAATTAGCCAAGTCTATTTTAAAGGGAAAGTCCATCTCATCATAGATTAAAATGCAGCAAAAAAGAAACTCAGAGATAGATTATGCTTAACATATTTTGTGGGTTAGTAGTTATATGGCATAGTAAGTTGGACTGGGGATAAGAAAAAGATAAGTATGTAAAAATGATCTAAATAATATTTTGAAAAACGATTAACTTTTTTGTTGTTGTAAAAAAATACCTTTGAATCTTAATGGTGCAACCATGGGTATATATTTATGCTAATATTATACCAAAAGAAAGCCTGAGTGAAAATATAAAGTTGTCAAGTACTGGGAAAAAATTACACAAAGCTATTGCTAAAACCCTAAATTTTATAGGGAGTATAGTCATTTCAAATTAATACTATAAGCTCTTTCATTAGAATATTAGTTTTTTGAGTGCAGATACTATATCTTAATCTGTTATATTCCCAGTACTTAGCATAGCTCTAAAATAGAGAAGAATCTCAGTAAATATTTGAGAAATGAAAAAATAAATAGAAAAGACCCATATGGAGTACCTTCCTTCTCCCACTCTTCAGGCTAAATATCACAAATAAAATCCTCCCTTGACTTTGAAACTTGAAGATCCTTCCTAGAAATATGAGATATCAGAATTACTTTTGCCAAATTGTAAGTAGCTCTTGGGCCCTTTGACATTGGGAAGAGAATGCTGTTGACTTGACTAATGTGTTGTGGCATTTAGTGATGGTTCTATTCAAGCTTTTAAGGATGAAAAAGTAATTGAGTGAGCTAAGAGAATGGGGAACATAAGGAGAACTATCCATTCATTCATTCAGTGAAAAACCAGCCTAAATGCTCATCAAGCAACAAGTGGATAAAGAAAATGTGGTATACACATAATATGGAATACCACCACTTAAGAACTAATGAGCGCTCTCCCACCTGACAACATGGTTATCCATGTAACCAAACACCACATGTTCCCCCAAAACTATTGAAATAAAAAAATAAGTAAATTTGTAAGAAATTGACAAGAAAATAATCTTTTAGGCATAAAGTCAATTTACTGACATTTATGCACTTAGACACACTGTACAAAATAAAGATAAAAAATACAGATATGCTTAATAAACATAATATTTAAAAAATAAAAAGACTGTTAACAACCAGAAACTAACCTGGCCATTCGGTTCACACAGGATTGTTATACAATCAGGACTTGCTCTAAACTTGTCTTGTTCTTTCCAAAGAAAATCTGATGGAGGTTGATGCTTTGCTTCAGATGCTGCTGCCCATACCTGTAAGAAAATTGTTAATGACAAATACCACTGGAGTCGAATACAATTTTGTAAATGTCATAGGGTTACTCTGACATAATCTTTCTGAACAGATGAGGTTTTAAAATATAATGACTTTAGCATATACAATGTTAAGCTATGTAACACCAAACAGCTACTCTACAGGGCTTAAAGGAAAAAACGAGAAAGAGAGGAACCCTCCTGCATCAGCTAATTATCTGTTCTCTAAACAAATAATCTCTTTGCTTGTCTTTTCAAGTCTATATTTACTTGGTTTCAGGAAATAAGGAATTTCATTTTAATAGTTAAATTATAAAAACAAAATATTGTACACAAAATTGAAGACAGCTGTGGAAATTTTACTATGGGTATTAATTTACATCCAGAAGATGGACAGTGTGGTGTAATTAATCAACAACAACAAATTCACATCTTATGTTCAGATCCAGATCAAGTGATAATGAGACAGTGCTGAGCCACAGGCAGACAGTGTCAATAAGCTTGTTGTGTACAATTCTAATGTACAGTATTTATAGTCTTATACTCACGGTTACTGTGGAATTGGCCTGCATTATGATATTTGGAAGGAATTGGTACAAAGAAATTGTTTGTCCATTCACATTTTGCCGGAGAATATGATCTCCAATTGCCATTTCTTTGTCAAGGGAAGAGTTAACGAGCTTTATGAACAAACCCTTGACATTCACTTCAGCTATTTTAACATCTCCAAGAGAACTACAAAATAAAACACAAAGATTATAAGGGGCATTCAGATAGGAGTGTCTTTGACTCACTTTAAGAAGTGAATAACAAAGTGCTTGAAAGTCTTCGTATATACTGTTGGGCAAGTTCTACATAGAAATAGTACATTTTGTAACCTCAGACAAATGGCTTGAGCTTTTAGTTCTATTTCTTTATCTGCGCAATAAAATAATCTATTTCATATAAAATAAAGAAAACCTAAAAAGTACTTTAGGTGTCAAGATATAAAAGCCACAGGAAGGTGTGAATTAAAATAATTTAAATTTCCTACTGTTCAAGATAAAATCATTGAAACATGAAACTCTCAAAAGTAGATCAAGAGACAAATGATTTAATTCATTTCTGATAAAGTGACTGAAGATAAATAGAAACTATGTAATTAAAAGATTTTTGAAAGGTAAAAATGTTATAGAAACATAAAATGGCATTTTTCACCTTTTAACTTGTGTTGAGAGCTTATGTATGATCCAGGGATCAAGCTAATCATTTATATATCATTATATATCAGCATTTTTCAGATTGTGAGTCACAACTTATTAGTAGGTCAAAAATTACTTTGGTAGGTGAGGACCCTCAACTTAAAAATAAAATATATCTGTACTAATAATAACAATACTATTTATATGCCAGGCACTGAAAAACATTATATATCTAATATCTCTATATGTATATCTATGTCTATGTTTATATTATTTATCTACTTATCTCTCTACATGATTCTCCACAATTTATTTTCTGCAGTACCAAAGTCCAAAAAGCTCCAAAAAAACTCCCAAAAGTCTGGTCCAAAACTGAGGTGAAGCTATTTATTGTCTTTGTTCATAGTTTATGTGAATATTTATATGTTTTTCTGTGAAAAGTTTGATGTTTCATTTTTGATACTTCTGTAATCCCTGACAGAGTGTTATATAATATGTGTTCTAAAATTTCCTTTCCTAAAATTCTGAATTTGGAAATACAAAAGTTCCCATGTATTTTGGTGAAGGCATTGTAGACTCACAGTAACTCTTATAATTCTTACAATAACATACATATTTCTTATTGAGGATCACATTGAAAAATGTACGGAATGCTGTATTATCTCCTTTAATTCTTAAAACAATTCAGTTAGGTAGTATTTTTAGTCCCATTTTATAGAGAAACTGAGGTTTAGAGAGATTAATTCCCATGTCCAAGGTCACTCCATAAATATTAATCCTTGTCCTTCTGCCTCACTCAACTAGTAAAATCTCAAATAGATTTGACCTAAATATTCAGAGTGTTTAAATTCTGTATACACCATGGAGGTTGAGTGCTGCTAGCAAATGCGTGCGCGTGCACACACACCACACACACACACACACACACACACACACACACACACACAGATTGCTGCTACCAAAAATCTAGTGGTCTCCAACTACACCTGTGCCTTTGCTGATTGACAGCAAGTTGTCATCTTCATAAGCCAAGTCAGCAACTTCTGCCATCCTTCAACAATGTTCAAATCCCTGTCCCATACCTCTATTCTCTTACTTGGAAAATTATCTCACTAAGAAAACATGACCAACAGAGAGAAGTACATGTCCCCACTTGCCACTTAGAAACAGGCTCACCTATAGCTGAGCCCACCTTTTCTCTGTAGCCCACCCCGTTTCTATGGAAGAGGCCCCTTCTCCCATCTGCAGTGAAGCCCTCTGGTCACCACCTCCTCCTGATGCTTCAGCAACTCAGTCCCCTCATTGTCCTTCCTTTCTCCTTTAACACCAGCTTCTCCCTCTGGACTACCTATTTCCCCCAAATGGGTACACATCTTTGAGGGGCTATCACCTTAAAAAAAGAAAAAAGAAAACAGTCCTTCAACTTACAATTCCTACTGCCATCACAGCCTAGCTTTTGGAGAAGGCTATGTCACTTATTAAAATCACCTCTTATTTACTTCTCAATCCACAACCACCTACCTCTACTAGAGACCCACATGACCAGTGCCCTTTACAATCGAGAAACTGAGTGGCAACCGTTAGTCTACATCTTCATGTCTCCTCAGTATTGGCCTCTGCCAGATGTGTCCTCTTTTTGGAAACCCTTCCCTTTGTTTCTTGAAAGTCCACTGTTTTGCCTCTATCAGTCTTATTCTTTTTCAGTTCCTTTTTCAGATTTTACCCAGCACCTTCACCCATCTCCCAGATGTTGATCCCTGGGATTCTGTTCTTAGCTCTCTTTTATTTCCCCCATTTATCCTTATAGGTGATGTTATCCATGGACAGTGTTTACTAGCCATTAATACACCAATGACTGCTAAAACTTAATCTCCTGCCTAGACCTTCCTACTGAGCTCCAGACCCACAGAAACAACTGACTATAAGATCCCAAAACGTACCTCTGAATTCATCACTTTGGTCTGTTGCAAATTTACTCTCCCAAGCAGGAAACTTTTCCAGTGAACTGTATCATTTACCCTGTTGGCTAATCCTGAAACTTCCATTACTGTCCCAGTTTCTTACCCTTCATTCCTTAACCCTGATCAAGTTTTGCTGATTCTTCCTGTTTAGTGGCATCTATTTACATCTTCTCTCCATCCCTATGGCTACTGCCTTTATCACGCTCTCATAGTCTCTGTGAGACACTGATTCGGCATCCTAACTATTGTCTTCAGCTACCCGCTTCTGAACATTTCCACTTTGCTTCCAGAACAATCTTTGTACAATCCAAACCTGACATTTCCGCTTCCCTCCTGGAAATCCTTCAATATCTTACCATTTCCTTCTATAGAAAACACAAACATTACAGCATTCAAACAAAGCCCTACATAATGTCAGCTTCTTTAACCCCTTTTTCCTTACTTCCTACGTTATGCTTAAACTGCTATCATAAAGAATTCCTTGCAAAAGTATAATTCATGCTGCTGCAGGCTTCACTCACCACGTGCACACATACTATTTCCTCTTCTTGGTCCCCATATCCTTATAAACACTTCAAATTTTCAGCCTTCTTATTTTTTTTTTTTCTATCACAGGTACATAATGGAATCTCATTGTATTTTATTTTTTTCCTGATTATGTTGGGGGAAGCAGCAAAGGAGAAAGAACTTACAGAGTGTCTACATAAATTGGTTATTAGTAACACATAAACTGGGAACAACAAACTACAGCAAACTAAGGGAGGCCACTAGGTAGGCAAACTTCCTGCCTCATGTTCCAGTGCAGGGTGACCTAGGCTCTGTTACCATAAACATTGTGCTCCAGAACGTAAAACCCCTTCATTGAACTAAGATGTAACCAGATTTGTAGGCTCCCTGTAAGGTCCCCGTTCCACCAGCTGCACATAGATAATAGGCTAAAGATAACCACAGGTTCTTGTTTTGTGAAACTCCCGAACTGCCTCTGTAAGCAATCTTTAGAATGACACATCAGTTCTGGCTCACTGATTCACTCCACCATCACATCACCCTCTCCCTACCATCACTCCACCACCTGCCCTATAGATCAAAGTGATTGTAACCAATAAATACTGTGGAAGATCAGAGCTCGGGGCCTTTGCACTCTCGTTTATGCACTGGCTCCCTGGTCCCACTACATGTATTCTTAATCTGTCTTTTTCTCATTTCTTTTGTCACCACTGAACTCAGGGTACCCATGGGTGAGATGTGGGGCTGGTTGCCTACATTCTGGCACCTAACATGTGGGGCTCCCTACAGATTATAGGGCAGTTACACAAGCTGCTTATTGGCTACTCAGTTTTCCTCTTTGATAAATTGCCCGTTCATGTCATTTTTCCTCACTTTTCTGAATTTACATTTTTATAATTGATTTGTGGTATTCATAGCACAGCATTTAATTATATGCACATATTTCCTGCAAGAAGAGACTTCTAAAAAACTTCATCTATAATGTTTCTTATGGTACAGTTGATACTTCTAAAATTTTTACTATGATAAAATTTATCATTTTTTTCTTTATAGTTTCTGCTTTTAGTTCCTAGATATGAAAACTTTCCCTGCGCTAACGTCATATTTTCTTTTAAATATTTCAAGAATTTGCTTTGAACAGCTTTATTTGTATGTATATATGTGTGTATGTGACAGTATATTTCATATAAGGAACTAATTTTCCTACTTATATTTATTAGATTGTCTATCATCTCCCTGCTGATTGGTAACGTCACCTTTGTCCAATAGCAAGTTTCTGAATATTGTAAGGCTTTCTAAGCTGTTCTGTTGATCTAGCTGTTCCTCCTATGTCTATGCCAAATGGTTTTAATTTATATTGTTTTAGATGAAGTCTTGATTTTGGTTGGACAAATCCCATCTCATTTTCTTTTCCAATATTGTGTTAACCGTTCTAAACTTTAACCCTTTGTGGTAAGCAAAATAGCTTGATCAAAGATGTCCATTTCTAATCTCTGGATCCAGTGAAAGTATTGTCTTAGATGGCAACAAGGACTTTGCAGATATAACTAAAATTATGGATCTTAAGATAGGGAGGTTATCTTAGGTTATTTCAGGTGGAATAAATGTAATAAAATGAACCCTTAAAATTAGAATTTACTCCAGCTGGAGGCAGAAGAGAGCTGCAGCGGAAGGGAAGTTAGAGAGAATCCAAGCACAAGGATTTGATGCACTGTTGCTGGCTCTGAGATGTAGCAGCCTTTGTGCAGGGACTCGGGAGAGGCCTTTTGAAGCTAAGGGTGACTGCGCTGACAGTAAGGAAGTACTATCACCACAAGAAACTGAATTTGGCCAACAACCTCGAAGAGCTTAGAAGCAGATTTATTTCAGTGTTCAGGTAAAAGCCTGTTTGACACCTTAATTTTGACCTTGTAAAAGTCTAAGAAATCAACTGAGACAACCCAGACTTATGACCTAGGGAACTGGGTTACAAGTTAATAAGTGGGTGCTATTCATGTTATTTTTAATTTACAAAGTTGGTGGTAATTTGTTATGGCAGTAATAGAAAACTAATATATATTTCTTGTGATTTTAGAGTTAGTTAGTC